ATGTTGTTTTACTCGAATTCCACCTATATAAATGTTAATATCCTTTAAAACATCCTTACAGAAACATCCAGAATAACATTTGACCAAATATCTAAGCACCCCCTGGCCCAGCCAAGTTGACCCATAAAATAAAACATTACACTTCTATTTGCACATATCTGATAGTTAGCAATATCTGATAGTCAAGAATTTCTGATAGTCAAGGGTCATGGTTAAGAGCAGGGGTTTAGAAGCAGCAGACTTGAGTTCTGTTTCTTCCTCCTATTGAAAAGTGACTTAATATCTCTATGCCTCAACACCCTCTTCTTTAAAATGGAAATAATAAGAGTTTGTTGTGAGGATTAAATAAAATAATGCATTCAGCACTCTCAGCATAGAGCCGAGCCCTAGTAGGTATCAATAAATGATACTTGTTATATTCACATTGCTCATTATATCTTACTCTATGACTTGAATACAGCACATATAGAAAAACATGCTTTTGACTGGAAAGGATAGCAGGATGAGTAGTCACTCTAAAGGAAGACCAGCAACGTGGAAAGAAGGAGTATGTCTTCCTTCTCTTGCTGGAGGTCCCCAGGGGCAGGGACAGGACCTCAGATTTTTACTTGGACATCTCCACAGCAACTGCAGCTGTTTGGGGAAGGCTCAGTAATCATCATGACAGTCCATGTTTTAACCCTATCACTCCACAGGTTAACCATGTGTTGTCCCTCCAGCCTTGCTTATTCATTTTATCAATTATCTATTGCCAAATAATGCCACATAACACTCATCCTAAAACTTAATAGCTTAAAACAATAAGCACTAATGATTGCTCATAAGTCTGTAGATCAGCTAGACAGTTCTGCTGATCTGGACCAGACTCAGCTTTGTGGCTGGGCTCACCTGTGAGTCCATGGTCAGCTGGCAGTTTGGCCAGGGCATCGCTGGTTTAGGACAGTCTCTTTCACATGTCTGAAGGATGGGTGGCTATCAGCTGAGGTGACAGGAACAAGGGATCACATGTCTTTCATCATCTAATAGGCAATCCTGAACTTGTCCACATCACACCGGAGTGGGGCTTCAAGAGAAAGGGGAAGCTGCAAGGCCTCTTAAGAGCTAAGCTCATCATTTCCACCATGTGCTTTTGGCCAAAACAAGTCTCAAGGTCAGCCTGATTCAAGGACGGGAGAAGCATGCTCCACTCTTCATGGGAGGAGCAAGAAAATCACATTGCCAAGGACATGGACCCCGGAGGGTAGTAGACTGGGCCATTTGGGCAATGCAACACACCCATGGCTCCTGATTCTTGCATCCCATTGACATTCATTAGAAGACCAATCAAGCATCCATATTTGTCCCTCACCCCCTACAGCTATGTTTACTTCTGACAGGTTCATGTTTAATTATAGAGGCAAAGGGAACTACTGAATGTTTTAAGAAAGCAAACCAAATGAAAGTGGTTAAAAGAACCAAATGAAAATGGACTTGAAAAAATATATTTCTGACATTCAGGGAGCAAACACATTTGTCTGAGAAAATCAGGAAGGCAGGTTGAGGGGAAAACATTCACAGCAGCAGGAAAAGAGCTTACAAAGGCCCAGATGCGTGAAAAGATAGTATCATGAACAAGTATAGGAAGCTTCCACTAGCTGCTTATAATTAATTAGTGTCACCTAATCTAGCAATGAAATTTTTCTTCCCATATGTTCCCCTAGAGAGCCCACAACATTCATCTCCCCATTTAAAGGTCAAAATCAAGAATATGGAAAGATTCAATGTCTTTCCTTTGCTCAAGCCAGTTCACATGCATTTGCCCTCCAGCTATTAGTGAGTAGATTTAGAGTAGAGATGAACTTATCACCACAGAGGACGTTAGTGGGGTGGTTTAGTAATTGAGTGCTGGTCTCAGACCGGGCTCAGCCACCTTCTTGCTGTGTACCTTGGAGCCAGCAGCACCTCTAAGAGTCAACTTTGACATCTGTGAAATGAATCAGTACCTACTAGTAATCCTCCTGTGAAGATTAAAGCAGGTGAGGCAAGAAAAGTACTGAGCACAGTGGCTATTAATGAAAAAATGCTCAGTAACTAGCAGATGGCTACTGGTCCTTCTAGCTCCTGAGTCTTGTAGAGCAGAGTCCATACACGATTTGGCTTCCATCAGTACCTCCACATGCTCCACAGCTGCTGACAAAAACACTGATGGCGCAGGCAAGACTTAACTGCACATTTCAGGTCTTAGAAGGAAGATCTTGACAGGGTTGATTATTAAATAATAAGGAAATTAGTGCTCAGTCAAATTAGACATGGTATTGATTTTTAAACTTTTGTTTAAAAATTATTTGTTCAGTATGAGCCGAACAGCAAACAAGCAAGTCACATTTTTTTTTTGCATTTAAAATTTTTTTATTGTTCAAATATATTTTTCTCCATTTTCCTGCCACCACTTTCCCCTGCCCCACCACCCCCATCTCCCACCCTCAATCATTCCCCACTTTGGCTTTGTCCATGGGTCTATTATTGAGATATTTTTAAACCTGCCATCATGGCTGATAAAAAAGGAGTTTCCAATTAAAGGGTCCTCACTCTCAGGAATTTTTCATTGACATCATCACTGCATAACAAAAAAACCATGTGTGACTATTTTTGTGCCCTGGCTGATCATATAAAAATATGGAATTTTCTTCAAACCAGACACATGGAAAGATGATTTATCAAGATTTTGTATCCGATTCAAGCAAGTCACATTTAATCAGTATCCATTTCTTAAAATATGTGCACATATATAAAGCATATATATATATTTTATATATGGTATGTATTTTATATAAGTATATAATATATTTAAATATGTATTTAAATATATAATAGGTGGGTATATAGATAATGTATGGGTATATATTACATATAAATTATATATATAAAATATATTCAATGAATATATAAGTAGATGTAGAATATATACTTAAATATATACATTTAAAGTACATTTAAATATATTTAAGTAAATATATTTAAGTAAAGTATATATGAATCAATATAAGGGGGTATATATATATATCATTTTATGTATATAGATACATGTGTGTGCTCTCATGCTGTATGTCAACACTTTAGTTATCAATTTCTTCATCATTTGGAGTAAAAAGGCAGTGGCCATAAAAGTCACAACCATGGCACTCACCTGCCAAGTTACACCCTAACTAAGTACCTCCTGGAGAACTCAAATGCGGTTTACAGAAAACTTAGACTAGTAGTAGATAGTGGTTTGCTTAGCACTGTAAGTTTTCATAGACCTTTCACCACGAAGGCCAACTTCTATAATAACTTTGGGGTTTATTTGGACACAGCATACATATTTTGTTCTTGTTTCAAAGGGATCTTGCAACCCAGGAAATATGCAGTTTTTAGAGAGGCAGGGTTTCCTTTTATTCACACAAAGAAAAAAAAGGGTGTGTATACGTAAGGACTGGTGCGATAGCTTTGCTTGCCCCAAGAGGACGTCGCAAACAGTATGCTAATCAATACTGCAGAAATCAAAATTTCTTCGGTCCCTGTGCCAGTCAGCCCTGCACTCACATCTTCTTGCTGTGCACCACAGTTTGAGCAGGGAATGGAAAAGTCAGCCCTGCCCAGGCTGGCCCTTCAGCAGTCTGTGCTCATACTGTTCCAGCAGACTTGATAATGGGAACATTTCATCCCTTGGCTGCCTCACAGACCTTTAAAATGGACTTGACAGGGTCAGGAGTGGTAGTTTCAGATGACTTCCACATCTTGCTGTTTAGGACTAAAACACAGCATTCTGATTGACTTAAGAGTTTATGATTGTTTTAGTTCTCTAGTGCCACTAACAAAGTACCCCAAAACTTAGTGGCTTTAAAAAGAACAAATATTTATTTGCTCACAGTTCTGTAACCTGGGCAGGGACAGTCCATCTCTTTCCCCTAGCTGCCGACTGGGATGATCTGGCTGGTCTGGAGGAGGAAGGTGTCACATGTGTCAGACACTTCATCCAAGGTGCTGAAACATTGGAATTTGATGGGCTTCTCTCTCCACATGCTCTGTTCATTTGTGGGCTAGCTCAAGCTCCTCTATATGGCACCTGGCACCAGCTGATGGAAGCAGATGCTTCCAGGCCTCTTAAGAAGGAGTTTATCATCCTTCCACTGCATTTTATGGGTCAACCCAAGTCACGAGGCCAATTCAAGGAGTGGGAAAATATACACAGGAGGGGAAGAACTATTTGGAGCCCATGGTAAAAGGAAGAGAGCAGGCAAACAGAAGAGAATTAATGGAATTACAGTGTCTGTTGCAGAGAACATTCTAGAACATGAGCCCTGAGAAGGCCTTGCTCAGAATTATAAAGCCAGGCAAACCTCAGAAAGATTATCTAATAAGTGTTCTGAGGTTCTTAATCTGGTCAGCCTCAAAGGTTCTGTGAACCCCTTGAAACTATACAAAATGTTGGCAATATATGCTTTTTTAATTCCTGGAGGAAAGTGGGAATCTACAGCATTCAGCACATCTTCAAAGGAGCCTATGATCCTAAAAAGGTAAGGAATAATTATCCAGTCACTGACAGGGCACCCTTATATCCCAATGGATGGGACAGCCTTGAAATTAAGTGCCAGCCCACAATTCTAGTGCCTTTAAAAAATCAGAGCTCTTCCAACCAGTACAAACCTGTTTTATATGGTGTTTCTTTTTCACCAGAGACAAAGGTGTTTTGTGCAGGAAGATAGTCCAAATTTTAAAGTAAAGATCAAATTTCAAGTTTGGAATGTTTTGAAAAGCTACTTTTGGTAGAAATAAGCCAAGGTCAAGAAGGCAGCTGGAGGGGGAAGAGAAAGGAAAGGGACGCTGGGATACACAGATGGAAAATCAGGTGGGCCAAGTGCTGGCTTTGGGCTAACTGAGCCATTGAAAAGAAGCTAATTGCTTCCAGTTGATAGAATTTAAGGAACCTCCTCCAGAGTCTTTTGAAACTGTGTCGAATTTGTCTTTATTTGTCTCCACAGCCACGGGACCCGATGTGCAGGGGAAGTTTCTGCCGCGGCCAATAACAATATCTGTGGGGTTGGAGTGGCATACAACTCCAAGGTTGCAGGTAAGCTGTCCCTTCCAAATAGCAGTCCCCAGGCTGGGCAGCCAGCCCCAAATTGCATCACATCTTAGTCTCCGGCTGGCCAGGGCCTGGCAAAAACTCCCACTGCTGCAGGAGATCAGGGACTCCTACATTTAACAAGAGTGAAAAAAATATTTTTATTTTAACCTATCTGAAAATATTAATAAAATTTTAAATTTTTATTTATTTAAGCATAATATACAGAAAAGTGCACAGATCACAAACATATAGCTCAATGAATTTTTACAAACTGGCCGAAAAACAAAGCATTACCAGTGCCCCAAAAGCTGTCCTTGTGTCCATTCCCAGTTACTACCCAGACATACAAGAATAATCACAATCCTGATTTCTAACAGCAGACTTTGGTAATTGCCAGTTTATTAAATTTTATATAAATGGTGTATGCTTTCTTGTTAATATCAAAAACATTTTGAGGAGACTCAAAGAAAGACTGTAGACAATAAGGAGAAGTGTATAAATTGTTATAAACATACTCAGGATCTTCAAAATGGTTTTTTCTTCTTTGTGTTTTGTACAATGCATCTCATCTTTAAGGAAATATATTCTACCTAGAACCTTTTTATTAAGTTTCACAGGAAGGATATTTAACAACTTTACAGAAGGCTTTAGAAGTGAGGATGACAAGTCACTAGAAATTTAGAAACCAAACATGTGCCCATCCCAAAGAAGAGGGAGAGAAAGAAGATGAAAGAGCCAGGTTCATAATCTTTCAACAAGATGCTGGAGAATGGAGTGGCTCCTGACTCATTCTAAGTTTAGCATCAAATTGGTTCTTAATTTATTTAGGTTGACTCACCCAACCTTATTTCTCTCTTTTTTTTTCCTTACAACCTCCTTGATTATTTTTCCTGGTGATTTAATGGAACTATAAACATACTTTGTGCTGACACTTGCATTTCTAGGGACCTAAATAAAGAAAGAGCAACTTATACAAACCCACCATTAACCTCTATCAACACTGTTTGTTAAGTGGCTTGTCTGAGCTAGGCAACACTGGCTTGCCTGAGCTAGGTGCTGAATTTCACAAAAGAATATATCTGAAGGTTCTGAAAGGTAAATAGAGGAGGATTTTCCCTCATGTTTCAATTTTCTTTACTTTGTATGCATCCAAAACACTAGCATTAAAATGTCAGAAGCCATTATGAAATCGGGGAAAGAATATCACCCAATTAATATTTTATAAGCTAAGCTTGTACCTCGAGTGGTAGCTGAGGCGAGGTATGTTCTCTATTCACAAGACAGAAATGGAGACAACTGAAAAAGTCAAACTTGAATTTCTCATTCACGGTAATTGTCTTCAAAATAGTTTGGAAGGCTCTGTACACCCAAAGTAAATGGTTTTTTGAACAAGGGGTTCTTAAAACTATTGCCTGCAAAAATTAAGAGTTAGAGCAGCTCAAGATGTTTTGGAGGTTTATTGGAGTCTTTTCCTCACCTGCTTCTTTTATTTTTTTTCTCTGTTATCTGAACTCTGAAAACATCTGAGCTGCTCATCAAATGTACAAAATTATCCTGCTCTTTTCATATGAATTTCCTAAAAGCAAAGCCAGAGATAAAAACTGAGGTATATAAGGGAGGAAGAAATTTTCATCTATTGTTCTAGGTTCGTCTGGCTAGTCTAAGAATAAAATTGACATGAGATAGATTAACAAGAGAAAATAATCAAATTTAACTATCTACATATGTACAGGGGTTCCATAAGAATTCGGTGCCCAGGAATAAATAGGGTAGTTGAGGCTCCTATGCCATCCTGAGCTAAAGAGAAGGGGGTAGTATTTTGGGACTTTGAAGGAAAGAAAGGCAATTCACAAGGAAATGGAAAAGCAAATGTTTGGTAAACAAATGTTTGCTGGGTCGTGCAGAGACAATGGGAGACAGACCAGACCCTGATCTAGGCCCTGCCATGCCTAGTTCACATTACACTATAGTTATCTACGAGGATAACTCCCTTCCAGGAACATGCCCTCTGTCTAAATTCTTTTAGGCCATAAGAGGGAAGGGCAAAGATTCTTCTTGAGTCCTTTGTTCTTTAAAAAGAAATAATCCTCATGCCAGAGACACACATTTTGGGATGGCAATTTTGCTTATCTACAGGTGCTAGGAGTTTATATGAAAAATGATCCCAGGAAACTAGAAGGAGGAAAAGGTGGCAGAGGCAAGAAAGATGAGCTGGTTGCTCCCTTGGACAACTGAGGACCTGAAAGAAAAGACTATGGGAATACTCCTCAAAATTATTCCCCCCAAGATGAGAATGCTGTTCCTTATTGGTGGAGAAAGCTCCTGGGACATGAACACCCTGGCCCGGCCAGTCTGCCAGCACACGTGAGCTTAGAACTAATAAGGCAGAGAGCACAGCCTCAGGCAAAGATTCACAAGCGGGCAGCCGATCCAGGCATAGTGCAACAACCTCCGCCTCACCTGCTGACTAACCCCCACCCCACAGACAGGTGAATGCAGCCTGGTGTCTCAAAGACACAACCCATGCTCTCTGAAACCCTGACAGCAGTTCTCTGATATGGAGGACTCCAGCCCTTGAAGTACCCCGATTCACTGTGGATGGAAGAAACAGTCATTCCAGACACCGCTTGCCTGTCAAGGAAAGGGGAAGGCAATTCCCTCTAGTGGGGAATGCCCTGAGCCCCTGTGCTCAATGGCCTTTATTGAGAGGGTTACAAGCAGGGGGATAGGTAGCAGGAATGTATAGGTAATCTAATTACATCAGTAACTTAAGTTTACAGAAAATAGGTGATGTTTAAAGAAGGCAATGGCAGGAACACACTGAATTGCTTCGGTCCAAGATGAGCAGACATTATGGCTCCAGGTAGGATTTGGGTCAGGGACCAGGAATTTTGTAAATTTCTTTCCCATCCTTCAGCTGGTTATCTGGTATAAGATTAACAGAGCTTGAGGGAGAAACAAAGCATGTTTCAAGTAGTGTAATTTACTTCTAGGCCTGATTTCCCCCGGGGGCCCTCAGAGTTATTATCGGGTCCTGCCTATCAACCTCATTACCATTGTTCTGGCCAAGTCTTACAGGTCCTCTCCCAGGCCCCAGCTTGCACAGGACTACTGTCTCTGATACCACTCAAAGTGGCCCCCTACACTCTGAGATTCCAGAAATCAACACCAGAGCTACCCAGCCACACAAAGATTTTTAGCCAAGCACCTTCCTTTCTCCCCTGTCCACTCCCTAAGCCCCAGCTTTGCTCCTCTGTAACCAACCACTCATGCTGCTTCTAACTGCTCAAGGACCAGGAAGCTTTATACTCTGTCCTGTGTCCTTTAGGTTAGTACATCCAGTGTTCTCTATGTTTTCACAGAGGAGCAAAAGGGAATTCGTCATGAGGAAGCGCTGAAGAGTTACTCAAGATCCCAACACATGCAGAATTTAGGGGTCCTCACCTTACATATTTAGGGAGAACATTTTGTTAATTCTGGTTGACAATTACAAAAGTTGACTGTTTTTTATACTAATTGAGCATACTCTTCTAGAGAATCTTTCCTTTCTGAGCTAGAGATGTGTGGAGCGCCACCTGGTGGCCTACTAAGATCTTGCTAGCCTCTGGTGGTGTCAAGGTGTTCAGTTACATGTTGGGGAGACACTGGCAGCAATATCCCAAGTTCCTCCAGTGTCCTAGGTCTCTCTTCACCTTGACTTCAAGAAAAAGCTAAAATTATAGTGCTGTAGAGTCATAGTCCAAAATAGAAAGGAAACAGAGATGAAATTGTAAAATAAGTCCTATTCATTTCCCCACTGGGGATCCTGTCTTTCTCTTGATTTGCAAGCATTCATATGTCCTAGATATTAGTCCCTGATCAGTTTTAATCAATGCAAATATCTTCTCCCAAACTTTCATATGAGGTCATTAGTCCAACTGGATTCCACCTTTGTACATTGTGCTAACTGGGAGTCCAATTTTATTTTTCTCCAAATAGTGAGTCAGTGTTTCCACTATTTAATAATCCAAATTGTCCCTTTGATTTGTGGTGCCATCTTCATTGAACATTAAGTTCCCATTCATACATGGTGAGCCTCTGGGTACCTATAATTTAAATGAAGCCTCCTAGCAACTACAAACTACAAAGAGTTAGCCACACTCCTTCTAATACTGAAACTTTGTATTTGCTTTTCTCTCTGCCCAGAATACTTTACCCCTACACTGTATAGGGTTGCCTCCTTTTCGTCCTTCAGCTCTCAAGTCCCCACTGTTTCTTCCAACTTCCCCTCCCAGACCAGTTTACTCATCTACACTTGATAAAGCCTGGGGAATTTTTCCATCCCAACAGTAACTATTTTTGGTTACTGCATATTCTTATTATTGTATGTTATTGCACATATTAATATCTTTCTCCTCAGGCAGATGACAGTCTCCTTGAGGACAGGGGCCATGTTTGTTTTCTCTCACACCTCAGAATTAGCACAGGGTCTGCACACAGTGGGTGCTCAAACCCTATTTCCTGAACAGCAGAAAGCAAGGATGGAATTAAGAAAAGTAAGGGCCAATGAAGAAACCCATTATACACAGTAGGAATATATTGTTGAATGGAAAAATGGGTAAATAATTGGAGTTGAGAGACTAATGGCATAAAGCTCTAAGGACCCACAGCTGATGCAATTTCTATCTGTGAAGCTAAAGTATTTCCTTTTCCACCAGTACCATCTTACCTCTGTTCCTTTATTCCAATCAAACTAGTAGTTCCAATACCTGGGCCTCATTGTTGGGTGCCTACCATGGGCCCCATCCTGGTGTGGGTGGTGGGATGCAGCAGTGAGCCTGCAGACAGACATGACACCTGCCCTCACACAGCTGACAGTCTATGAGAAGGCTCTGAAAATTAGAAAATGCACACAATAATATCAGATAATGATTGCTGGTAGGGACAAAACAGAGCCAAGAGGCCAAGAGTAACTGGGGTGAGGTACAGCAAGGGACTTGAGGGTGAATGCTGCATCATCATCCCTGGGCTTCTGCAGAGCTTCTCAATGCAGCCCCAGGGTACAGCCAGGCCAGATGGGATTGGCCTAACCTCCCTTCCTTTTTAAGCCAGAGCATACAGATTTATGTATTGGGCTTCCGGATAAGATCTCCCTTGACCAAAGATTCTGAAGAGTTTGAAAATCATACTGTTGACAATTGTTAAAATAACTTGGAATTTTGCTACCAGCAATTAACTGCTTCCACATATTTGGGTTTATGTGTTTTTTTTAATCAGAGTTTTTAAATAAACCAATAAAAATCACCCATTAGCACAATAATATTTTCATATCCTTAAAACCTTGACCAGCGTGTATTTGCTCCTTAGCCTATTAATATCCATAAGCACTAAATGTGGCAGTTAGAGACACTGAGGTTTGGGGAAGATGTAGCATTTAATATATTTATATAATATAAATATTAAATTTATATATTTTATATAAATATATGTTTTGCTTATCTGACAAAAATAAGTATAATTTTATTGATTTACTAATAATAATACTAACAATAGTAACTACCTACCCTTTTTGCTCCAAAGTGACTTTTTAAAAAATCAGATACCTATGCTTGTATATAGGGATTTCTAGTACCAAGAATTAACCAATCAGATGCAACCTTACTATGCAACATGACCAATAAGATCCTACTCTATTATATGATCTACATATTTATAGTTCAAGACAGGACATTTATAACAGATGGCTATTTTGTTTTTGTTGGCTTTTATCATTTTTTATTTGGCAATCTAAGGGAAAAGAGGTCAGTGCCCCTGGCTAAATAGTCATGTATTGAATGTTTTAAAAACTCTTGCAGCATACCAGTTGAAAATCACTGCCCTAGAGGCTAGCAGTAATGCAAATTGTGCAGGCAAGCATGAGACTCAGAACCTAAAAGAAGAGAGGAGGTAGCTGCAGAGCCAACACTAGTTATTACTGTGGTGATAAGGCCTGGGGGGTTGGGGGGATGGGGGAATTGATGCTTGATGTACACCACATCTCCTCACCATTGAATCTTATCAGCCAGTAGAGCATTTTTACAAATGTGAAGACACTGAGTTCTAGGTCCCTGATCTTCCCTCTTTGCCTCTACCTCTCATTCTCATGCCTTCTCTTATGTCCTCTCTCTCTGTGTCCCCTTGTAGCTCATAAAATACCCAGAGACAGAGGAGAGGCCCTCCCTAAACACCCTAGGGTCACCCTGAGCCTGTGTCTTAGCTGCTAATGGTGCAGTTGCTTGCAAAAATTAATGCTGTGTCTCATTCAATTAATGTATGCTTCATTCCTCCAGAGCTTAACGAGATTAAAAGAATGTCGGGTGCCTGGCCCCTGAATATGAATGAGAGCCTTTCTTCCAATCTGTGGCCGCCCTTGTCTTTCTTGATGCTGAAACAGTCGGAAGATTAATGCACACAGCTCTGATGTTCTGTGAAGCACAAGGGGAGGCGGGGAGGGGATGAAGAGGGAGAGAGAGAGAGGAATAAGAGCTGCAAAAAGAGTGGGTACAGGACACAACTAGATGCACCACGCATTGACTATATGGCAAAATCCAGCGTTGCCATTGGCTGGCAGGGGTGGGACAGTCCAGGCCTACTTCAGCCAGTGTCAAATTTGTCTCATCTTCCAGTTAAGGTGGCTATTCAGTCCTGGTCATCTGAGCACTAAACAAATTCATGACCATCTGAGGTTTCTTCCTGCAAGAAGATGAATACCAACCTTTCTGTGATGTTTCCCTGTCCACAAAGGGGGCATGACTTCTTAAAAGAAGAAGCTGCACTATTTAGTTAATTCTATAACCTGTGGGCCACCTTTGCTGAGAAATATTTTTAAATAACAAAATATAGATGTACCAATAACAAAAAGGGGAGTTTTAAATTTTCTATCCTTTATAAAATGAATCATAAAACTGAGTTCCCAGAAAGTTCAAACCACACTTATTTTGGATAAGCTTCCTCCAGGAGAAAGGATGTTAACTCATAAAGAGATATTTGTTGGCAAAAATGGTGACTTGATTTATAAGTTAATGGCAGAGGATGGAGATCTGGACCTGTTATTATTTGTTTTTCTAGACCTGTTGTTTCTGTTAGGGAGAAAATCAACCAAATAATGCAATAATACTGTGCATTTATTCACAAATATTTATCAAGCCTAAGATAAAATTCTAAGCACCACACTGATGCCCTGAGACACAGAAGTGAACAAAATAGACACATGCCCTGTACTCAAAGACCTTGCTACCTGACAGTGAATGAAACATACAAACAATGGTAATAGAAGGCTGAAAAGTATGGTATTAGTGGAAAACCTGGAGAGCTGAATCCAGAAAGGCTTCTGGGGAAATGTCTGCTGAACATATAGGCTAGTCAGGAGTAGGGTGAGCCATGGCAGAAGCTGCAATGTAAGCACAAGGGGTGGACTATGAGATTTTGAGGAGAAAAGAGAGACCCTTGAGAGAAATGACCATTTTATGTCAATTCTATATATCCTGCAAGACCATAGTTGTCCTTCCTTAAGCTGACTTGTATACCATGTTAGGTAGTGATGCTTGTGTAATAATGTCCTTTGACCATCGGGGACAAGTAAGGAATGTCAGCATCCAAGCTTTGACTGTGTGCAGCCCAACTCCCTCATTTCAAAATTTCCATGGACAGAAAGACTCAAGTCAGTGTACTAAAATTCTAGGTTCCTTGCCACAGAATAGTATATCAAGCAGAGAACAATATGGCCCCAAACACCAATGTTTTGATGTCAGAAAGCCTGTCGCATTGACTGCTGCTGAGTTAACTCTGGAGAGGCTTTTTAGAAGTTATGTGAACCACAGGTGTCCACAGGTTTGTCCCTTCTCTGTGTCCCTCTGCCCACTTCAGGTTTTCCCCCCACATACTCACAATCCAGGACTACAGGACTTTGCTCCTTTTCAACTGCCCAGCAAGAAGTCATTCCCACAAGGCATCAAAGAGTAACACCAACTTTACAAAGATGCCATAGGGTATAAAGAGGAGGTTGTATCATGCACCCATTACTAGTGTATTTTAGAATAAGTTATGCAACCTTTCTGTCCTTCCCAAAGTCCCCTCTCAAATACACTGAAACTGAGAGTTCCTCTTTTCCTGATCCTGCACTTACCTACACTGTCCCTGAGACCCCCTACTCTCTGCCCTCTGTGCTCTAGGATTTCTCCTTAAATATCTATTATCTATTGCCTCCCTGTCACTGCCATGCACAATAACTTTATTTCTCCTCTGAAACTTGGCTCCAGTCAACACCCAGTCCTTGAAGGCTGACCTTCCACTTAGAAACAAGCTTATCGAGGAATGTCTTGAGTAAAAGCATTCTCTCCCCACTGGGAATTCTAGTAAAGTTTTCTAGAGGAATATAGTTGTCTTCAAATAGTTACATAAGAAAAGGTGAGGGTGGGATCCAAAAAGGATGGGTGGGCTAGTTAGTGCCTCCTCCTTGATTCTCAGAATGTGTAACCCACACACCACACCCATGTGGGACTCAGGATTCGGCAGTGTCCCGCAGGGCATCCAGGATGGCAGATCAACTGCACCTGGGATCTGAGCCCTTACCACCCCATACCTCCTGTGAGCTAGGGACCAAAACTCTGTATTTACCCACCACTGTGTCCACAGGTATCCGGATGCTAGACCAGCCATTTATGACAGACATCATTGAGGCCTCCTCCATTAGCCACGTGCCCCAGCTGATCGACATCTACAGCGCCAGCTGGGGCCCAACAGACAACGGGAAGACAGTGGATGGGCCCCGAGAGCTCACTCTACAGGCAATGGCTGATGGTGTGAACAAGGTAAAGTCGTTCCTGCCACCATGCCCTGGTTCCAACACTGGGTGGGGGTGGGGGGGGTCAAAAGGAGATGGACAAGAGGTAACAATAAGGGTGGAATGCGTGTAGCTGTCACCCTTTGCATTATCTCAGCTTCAATGAAAAATGGACCCCAAAGCAGGGTTAGGTGTACAGATTTTTGAAAGGGATGCCTGTGGAGGACAAAGGGGAGGTGGCTAGAGGAGGCAGGGCGCATCTTCAGACACAGACAGTGATGCAGACCTGGAGCCTGAGAAGGAAGGTCCTACTCTACCCTGGTACTCATAGGAGGGGGCCTGACTAGTGACAACAAACTGCCCCCTGCCCTGCCCAAGGAGTCGTCCGCAGACAGTGGGACCTCAGCATAAACTGGATGCAGATGCAGCCACGGGGATGGTAAACCCAGGGCACTCCCAGCCTGAGGTGTAAGCAGTGTGGTCTCCATGGCCGCAGCTCCCTGAGATGAGCGCAGGGACAGAGCCGAGGAGATGGGACAAGGCAGAGCCAAGAGGGAGGGCTGCAGGGAGTGTTGGGGTCAGTGGCTGCACAGAGAGATAGAGGAGAGACTCTCTCTGAGCTCTCAGGGCAGGGTCCTTCCCCCAGACAAGACAGCCAGGCTGCTGGATCAGTCTCTCTTGGTTCAGGTCCCAGTTGTACAACTCAGTGCCTGAGCATCCAGCTGCAATAAGTTGACCTCACTGTGCCTCGTTTTTTGATAATACATTCCTACTGGGATCATTGTTAGGTGTAAAAGAGATAAATATATAAGTGCTTGGAACTGGGAAATGCCCCACAAAGGGCTGGTGCTTGCCCTGGTCACTGTGGAAGTTAAAGTCACAGCCCCAAAACTTAATGGCATGAAGCGCACTGTTTTACTACAGCCTGTAAAATCTGTGTGTCAGGAATTCAGTGGGCGTGGTGGGGATGCTTGTCTCTGCTCCACCGTTCCTGGGCCTCTCAGCTGGAAGACTAGTGACTTGAATTTAAAAAAATGTTGTGTTTTCACATGTTCTTGCAATGTGTTGAATTCAGAATTACTCCTAGTTGGTGCCATACACCCATTACGTGGGGTTGTAGTCATTTTGCTGCACTTGGTCTTTTTTAAGTATTGGACTTGCCATGGGGTTGACACCAATGCCCCCTCCATACTTTCCTTTCCCTTTTCTTACTCAACCATCATGTGAGAATCACATCCCAAAGATTACAGCAGGGGTGTGTAGAGTAAGAGCAATTAGGTCCTAAGGAGGGGACAAACAACTATAAGAAGTTTAGAATATGGACTTCGGAAAATCCATTTAGGAATCATTAAAATTTTGCTTCTTGGATTTTCACAAATTTCAAGTAGACAAAATGGCTATAGCCATAATCTAGGTATATAAACTAGCACTATTATAAATAAATTGTAAAATGAACCCGTTCTGTGTATATGTTTAAATTATTTACAGTCTGTATACAGAAAACACATAAACTCATTACTTATACATTAATGACACTAAAAGACATAAATGGACAAAACACCATATGTTTAACAGTAGTCTGAAAAGGTAAAAATATTAGAGAAAACAGCTGAAGATTACTTTTTCTTTTATATATCTTTAAAGAGTTACCATAGGCCAAGCATTGTTTCATTTTTTTTTTAAACTATAATCACTATGCTGTACATTGGATATCCAGAACTCATGTATAATATAACTGGAAATGTGTACCTTTGACCAACATCTTCCCAATCCTTCCACCCCTACTACCACAGCCCCTGGCAACAGCCATTCTAGTCTCTGTCACTATGAGTTTGTTTTTTTATGTTCCATATGTGAGATCATACAGAATTTGTCTTTCTCTGACTTATTTCACTTACTGCCCTCAAATTCCATCCGTGTTGTCACAAATGGCAGATTTTCTTCTTTTTATGGCTGGATAATATTCTAGTGTGTGTGTGTGTGTGTGTGTGTGTGTAGATGATAGATAGATGGATAGATAGATAGATAGATAGATAGATAGATAGATAGATAGATAGAGATGGAATGCAGATCTCTCTTCAAGATACTGATCTCATGTCCTATGAATATAGGGCAATGCAAAAATAGGTTTATTGTTGTGAGTACATAAAACACAGTTTATTCTTGTATTTTTTTATTCATTATTGTATTGTTTTCTATTCAAGCAACTGTAAACCTATACTTGCCATACCCTGTATACCCAGAACTGGGATGGCTGGTTCATAAAGCAGTTCTAGTTTTAGTTTTTTGAGGAACCTCTATACCAGTTTCTATAATGGCTGTACCAATTTGCATGCTCACCAACAATGCACAACTGTTTCCTTTTCTCCACATGCTCCACAACACTTATCGCTTGTATTTTTTATAATAGTAAAGGCTACTTTTCTTTCTACATTCCTGAGGTCAGAGAACACATGTTTTCTTCTCCAGCTAATCCTCGGGAATAGCCTAGGACTTGAAAACATGGTAGGTCATCTGTTCAATAAATAGTTGTAGAACTAATACATAAATGAAATTTGATGGCTGAAAGATTAAAAGTCATATAGAAGTCTATAACTGTAGTTGAAGTCTTTGGTGGGCCATCCCCAGCTGCTGCATTTGCTGCTGATGACTCATAGCTGCCCCTTTCCAAGAGAATTGTCCTGGTTGACAGGATTCTTCTCATCCAGAAGATTCTGCCCACACCTACACCCACTGGGGAGCCCACTGCCAATGATGGACTGATTCAGGGTAGAAAGAGCCAGCCTGCTTGGCTCCTGCAGGGGCCACTCTGGGGTGAAATTTATGCTCCAGAACCCCTAGTGAATCAGGCCAATCAATGCTCACCTTTACTCAAGACCACATCATTTTGGGGTTCCTTTCCTTGCCCCTCCTGTTTTACTTCCTTACTCACAGATTTCTCCTGAAAGCTCTCTCTCAGTATGTCTGGAGCACCCAAGTCCCTACCTCTGGCTCTGCCCCTAGGGGACCCACCTTATAACATTCATTTGTGTTTGCTCTTTCTCATGGCTTCCAGGAAGCTCAGAACTAAGTTTGCACCTAACAACATAGATATTTTCAGGCTAGGTTTTCTGCTACCCCTTTTCCTCCCTTCTCATCATGAACCATGGCCTCCAAAATCATTCCTTAGCTTTTCTTCCTATATCCATTTTTACAGTCCTATTGAATCTAAACCTCTGAATGCAAAGTCCTATAAAATTTGTAAAAGAGTTGACAAAATGAGCCCAGTTTGATTAAATTTGGACATGAAAAATCTAAGTTTTGATCCTCAAATTGTTGCTTGCTTACACTCATTACTAGTATCAATGAACCGAAGTTTTCCTTGGACAAAAATTAGGCTGGGCCCTAAACAACAGTGAACAGTAAACAGTAAGTCAACCTCAGAACAGGGGTCAACCAACCTAGGCTCACAAGCCAAATCCAGCCCAGCAGCTCTCTTCACAAATAATGTTTTATTTGGAACATGGCCAGGCCCACCAGGTCTTTGTGTCCTCCCAGCCACAATTTCTCTTCTGATCAGAGCTGTCACAAGCTCCACATGGCAAGAAGCACATGAATAGAATCATCACTCAGAATGACAGCCTTTTCTGCTGGCCTGTCCACATCTCCATCTTCACAATATGACTGACATTGCATGGAAGGAGGTCTGCTTCTCTGTGCAAGAATTGTTTTATAAGAATTGGTGTGAACAAGTAGAGAACTGAGCTTAAGAGCTGGGAGACGTAAGTTCTCACCTCAGTATTGTCCTTTGTTGGCTGTGGGACTTCAGACTAGTCACTTAGTTTCTCCATTCCTCACTTTCTTCTTCTGTAAAATAGTCACATCAATGCTTCTCAAAGTGTGGCCACTGGCCCACCTAAGAGTTTATAAGAAATGCAGAATCTCAGCCCCATCCCACTCACCAACCTAATATATCAGAATCTGAATTTTAATAAGAGCCCATTTATGTTCAAGAGGTGCTGCTCTAAATGACCTCTAGGATGTGTATCATGTGACCCTAAGATAATAAGACCATAAGACATAGTTTTAAAAAGTCTATAATGTATAGAAAAGAGCAGTAGAGGTGACTCATTTTCTGGAGGTAATTGTGCTGCATATCCTCATTAGGGTGGTACATTGGATGTGTTGATGACTAAGCCATACTCTCTAGTGTGTCTCTGAGTTGTAGGAGCAGAGGTCCAGGTAGCTCAACTGAAGGTGTTTAGTGTTGTAAGGATGCATGAGGAGTAATAAGGGCAATGGGATAGGTTCAGGCAGGAGTTCATACAGACTGGGACCAGACAGATGTTCTAGACCCAAGTGGTTGCAGGACACCGGCCAAAAAGTATGTAGAGATCCCCGCTAGTGCCCCAAAGTCACAGGGCACAGCCACTCTCACCTTCCCTGTTTCTCACTGACTTTGTATATCCATCTCTTCAATCCATTTTTTCTCTTCCTCTAGGTTTATGCTTACGTGGTACTTCTGCTTGGACAGGGCCCCATCAGCACCCTCCTTTATCACAACCTGCCAGCCTCTACCCAACTGCCATCTGCTCCCACTCCAATGGTTTAAGGGCAATTTTGGCCCAATTAGGGGAGACACCATTCCCCCTGCTAGGTTCCAAAAGTAAGAAATGAGGTTCTTTTGGAAAGGTCTAGAACTTGAGAGGTCAGAGGATAGTTAGAAGGTTGCTAGCACAGCCCACTCTTTTCTATCTCAATAACATCAAGTGGCAATCATCTATATTCATGCTGGCTTTTCAGCCTTCTGATGAAGTTTCTTCTGAGCTGTTAAATTCTTTCAAATGTCTAAACAGAAGTGTAAGACCATATGCTCCATCTCTTTTATGGGTTTAATTGTGTCCCCCAAAATTCATATGTTGAGTTCTTAATCCCCAGTATCTCAGAATGTGAGTGTATTTGGAAACAGGGTCATTAGAGATGTAATTAGTTAGGATGAGGTCATACTAAAACAGGGTGGACTTCTAATCCAATATGACCGGTGTCTGT